GATGTAGGCAGAGGGAGAAGTGTGACCCCTCAGTGTCTGGAGCCTGAGTGTCTGTTGTTCATGCTACATGCCAGATAGAAACAGGGAGTAGATAATGTAGGTTAGGCAGAGGATGACCAGTTCGGACCTTGTTTTGCATGTCTGCTGTGTGTTGTGGGGGACTGAGAGATAAGTAAGAGACGGCCATGGCCTGCAGGAGTTTTTGTTGCTGGAGAGAGATGGAGAATGACGATATCTGATGGGAGAGCATCCTTTTATATATAAGGGCATTTCCAGCTCACAGGCAGCAAGTCTTTGGCTCTTTTGCATCTTTTTTCTCCTTTTCTTTGGGAGTTGATTGAAGAGGAAACATGGTCAGTTGATTCTGGGCAGAAAGTCAGACTCAGAAGAAAGAAAAAGAAGGCCCTGATTGCTCCGAGTGCCCATCTGCCTCAGTTTCCTGCAGGGAGCATGCCTTTCTCTGGGAATCAGAAGGCACACGTTGTTGAAGGAGCTGTGTTTGTGGTTGACTCTAAGGGACTTGGGGAGGCTGCAGATGGAATCCTCTAGACCTGGGGCCTCCGCTTTTGTGAATAAAGTTTTATTAGGACACAACCACTTTCATTTGCATATTGTCTGTTGCTTTCATGCAACAACAGCAGACTTAAGTAGCAGAAACCATATGGCCTACAAAGGCAAACATATTTACTATCTGACCTTTTATGAAAAAAGCTTGCCAACCCGTATTCTAGACCAGCAGCATGCTGTCCAAATGAAATGTAATGAGCCACCCGTAAATTTTCTAGTATCCACATTGGGGAAAAAAAGCAAGATGGAAAGATGTATGTCACCACTCCTATTGGACTTGGGACTGGAGAAGTGGTAGCTAGTGCAACAGGACAAGAGAAAGAAATTAAAAACATGCAGATTGGAAAGGTTATCTCTGGGTGATAGGGTTAGAGGTGATTTTTTTCTACTTTCGTCCACATTTCCCATGGTGAACATAGTAGTTTTAAAGTAAAGTCAAGTTTATGGAATGAAAGAATTTGATTTGGGTAGCAACTGGGGCAATTTAACATTTTGATCTTTGCACGTTTTTGTGTTCTTTTCCAAATTCTTCCTGATTGCCCTCCAAAAAGGGTGCTGGAGTGAAGTGGGGCCCTTGATGGTGTTGGGGCATCTTATCCCCAGGGCCTGGCAGTGTCACTCCCCCGCCATGTGCCGCACACATCTCGCTGACATAGGTCACTCCTGTGATGATGGCTGCCACTGGACACTGATGTTCTACAAAACTTCCACTTTCTCATTTTCTAACAGTGACTGCCTCGTCCGACTTTCAAATCCAAACGTAGCAACAATGAAAGAAGATGTTCTCTACCATTTCAGTCTCAGCACTAGCACACATGACTTCCCAGCTATGTTTGGAGATGTGAAGGTAAAAAGCCAGCCTTTTAATTCTCGGAATTTGTCCTCCAATCAACCTCCTCCTCTGTGACACAGGTAGATTCCTCACAGATGGTTGAGAGATACTCTGGTGACAGGCTCATGAAGTTATCTGTTCATCAGATTTTTGCAGATTGTTAACTTTTCAAGGATGTGAACTAGCCAGTGAAAGAAAACTATTCTAAGTAATGCCATATTTGTCCCTAACTCATTTCTTACAAAACAAACTTAGTACAGCATAAAATTAAAACAGTATATAAAGTAAACTTCCTAATGCTTAACTGAGAGAAGAGGGAGGGATAAAACATTTTCTAGGGGATCAAGGGATAGTGAAAAATGGTCATTGTATCACATCTGTTGTTTGTAACTTCAGGTACATATTGATGTTCTGTTCAGCTAATTGTCTTTAATGGTTTTTTTTTTTTTTGCTGAATGTAGCTTCCAGTCTATTTTCCCTACAGAGTCTTAAATCCCTGAGGTACATATTGATGTTCTGTTCAGCTAATTGTCTTTAATGGGTTTTTTTTTTTTTTTGCTGAATGTAGCTTCCAGTCTATTTTCCCTACAGAGTCTTAAATCCCTCGGTTTTTAAATGTCTAATCCCTATGGGTAAAGATGAACTAACATATAGAATTAAAAGTAAAAATGAACCAGGACTCTGGAATCCAGTGCTGCTGTGTGGGATCATAATTTGGTATTTAATGGTAGTTGTGTCTCATCTGCCATTGGTGGTACTGTTCTTTGGCAGTATTGGTTTCAAACTCCGGGGTAACTATCCTTGTGCTCTTAAGTTCATTAAATTTCCATTCATCCCATTAGGTTAATCTGTAGTGATTTTTATTCCAGGCTATGGGAATGTCTTTTATTACGTTTAGAGAATAATAATTCATTTCCTTTATCTTCAAACTCCTTAAAACTGGCTTATTTGCTTTTTTTATTTTTATTTTTTCTTACATGACTCTTTGCAAGTTAAAGTTTTTACTTCTCTGAAAGAGACCCACCCACAGTAGCTACAACCTTCCAGCCCCTCCGTCCCTGGCTCTTCCATGCTCTGCCCATTTGGCACTGGGGATGGCCAGGTGAGAGGTAATGCTTAGCAGCCTGCTCTGCAGATGGGGTGGGGGCCCTGGTGCACAGTGAGGAGGTGAGAGACATCGTCTCATTCTGACCCAGGCTCTCTCCAGTAGGTCGGGCTGCCCTCCACATGCACATGGGGGAGGCCAAGCACACATGGGACCTGGAAGTACTTTCTCAGAGAGCAAGGTTCTGGACCTGTGTTTGTGGAGCTGGCTCTGTTCACTGTGGGGTCACCTATACTGAGCAGTGATTCTGTGATGGGTGCCTCTCAGACTCACCAGAGGGGCTTGTTAATGCAGATTACTGGACCCCTGGATACAGTAGGTCTGGGTGTGGCCAGGGAACTTGCATTTCTGGCAAGTTTCTAGGTGAAGCTGATGTTGGTCTGCTACAGGCAGTGCATTGATAGGGTCTCTGCTTTCTGGCTGCAGTTTGTGTGTGTGGGTGGAAGCCCCTCACGGATGAAGTCTTTCATCAAGTATGTGGCTGAAGAGCTGGGCTTTGACCGCCCGGGTGTCGACTATCCCAACATCTGTGCAGGGACCGACCGCTACGCCATGTACAAAGTAGGACCAGTGCTGTCTGTCAGTGTGAGTACCTGCCCCTCACCTGGGCTCAGTGTCCAGGTTCTGCGTGCCCCTGTGCCCTGCCCCTCTGCACAGCAGGCAGCTGGCCCTCTAACACCTGTTTACCGTAAATGGCTGTGATGCAGAGATGAATGGGACCCAGGCTTCTGCCTGGAGGCTCAGTCTCCAGGGCAGAGCAAGTACGCACATGCAAGTGCAAACACACAGCTTTCTCCACAGTGCGCAGGTGGCAGTGCAGGGGGAGAGTGTGCCCAGGGTGAACCAGAGACACAGACAGGAGGGGGTGCCCTGCCTGGACCAGGGCCATGAGGAGAACCACAGCCACATCCCAGGCCCCCCATCTCCTCTGCCACCTCACGGTGCGTGATTACTTCATAACACATTTGATTTAGTAATGGGGTGATCCCAGAGATCTCCAATATTCCGTCAAAGAAGCCTTCATGTTTTACAGTTTTGATTTCCTTTGTCAGCAGCAATGTAAACGAAGAGCGACTCAGTTAGGGGAGGATATTCCTCCTGTTGAGATGCATGTCCCCCCTTCCCTGGTCACCTGAGACCTCTAGCAATACCAATATCAGGGAGCCAAGACATTATCGGTGACAGATAATTTATGAAAGCACTTCCTGTGTGGAAGACACCATGATGTACTAACAGGAATACCTCTCCCCTAGGGCTCTACCACAGGGACAGCCCCTGAGGTGCTGAGGGTATCTCAGGGAGGGCATTGTGGAAGATGTAACACTGGATGGTCTTTGAAGGAGGCTGGGAGGAAACAGCACAGGCTAAAGTACAAAGTCAGCAGGGCATCCTGAGTCTGGTGGGTGACAGACCAGCCAGTTACTCAGTTTGGCTGAAGCAGAGACCATAGGAAGAAAAGTGAAAAGAGAAACCTCTGATGGGTGGGTGGGGTGGGCATTTGTGCAGGGCTTCAAATGCCGCAAGGAGCTGTGTATTGCACAACAGTGGCAGGCTGTTGCTTCTCTGCTGAGTGCCTGGCTCCTCAGCTGCCACCTGTCTGACAAGTTGTGTGGATCAAATGGGACCTTGTAATGACAGCTCTTTGCACACTTTTACGTTCCCCAAAGTGTTCATAGTTTTTAAGTTTATATGTTGAAGTGTGTGTTCCGTTACCACCGTGATGAGCGTGGTGGATTGAAGTGCACCACATAAAATGTCAACCAGGGTATAGATGAACGCACGTCCTGGGGCTTTCATTGGCATTTCTCTCTGGTTCCAGCACGGGATGGGCATTCCCTCCATCGCTATCATGCTGCACGAGCTCATCAAGCTGCTGTACCACGCCAGGTGCTCCAACATCACCATCATCCGCATTGGCACTTCAGGCGGGATAGGTGAGTCTGCAGACAAGCCACTTGCCCTGTGAGGGGACAGAGGACTGGAGCCCTTGCCGTAGCTCCACCATGGCATGGGATGGGCCCTTGGCTTTGTTCAAGGAAAGCTTCTCAACAGGAGGTGTGAAAAGAAGCTTGTTTTACTTTTTTGTCCAACCAGTTCTCCCAGCCTGTATCCTAGAGACAGGTAGCAGAAAGGCACCAGGCACTTTGCGCCTCCTCGTTTATCCTTTCTAATCCCCCCTTCCTCTCTGCCTCTGTTTTGCTCACTTCTCCTCCACCCTTTTCCTGTGAGGCTTTGAAGCACATTATGAGAAAACCTACAGGAAAATCTAAGGGGTGGGGAAGAGAGGTGGAATACAAAACTAAGATGTGTCCTTTAATTAGCTCAAAACTTCCCAGTCCCCAGCGTGTTTTGTAAAAAACAAAGATGACAAAGAAAAATAGGATTTAATGAGAAAGCAAAATTCTAAAATACTGTTGAATTGTAAGCAAAAGCCTATTAGGCAAGTTTATTTTACATAAGTTTGCTCTCTGAGGTCATGACTCTGTACCAGTCTTTCTGCTAAGAACTGGGCTCCAGCAGTTCTTGCTCCCACGGGGGAGCTCGGAGCTAGTAGACAGAGCCTGCATTTGCTCCACATCAAGGTTAGCCTTGGTGCTACCAGGTGGGCCTGCGTGCATTTGTTTTCTGACTATCTAGGCCTGGCCTCTCTTGGATTTATGGTAGCTCTAGAATTTAGATTTTCTAACTATAAAAGAGGACTTGCTTTAGACCCCGAGTCTTTAGACCCCACATCTTGGGTTTTTTTCATCATATAGAGGGATTGATGTGTGAAATCTGTGTTTGCATGATTGTAATTTAAAGTTTAAAGAAGTTGTTCCCAGGAAAACACACCACTGGCCATGAGCCGTTCCAGTCCTGCAGATTTAATCTCTGATAACACCAACCAGATACTCTCGGCCGTGCATGTCATGCTAGCATCTGCCAAGAACTCTAGCAAATGGTTCTTGAGTTTTTGCTTTGGAGGGATTTTTTAAAAATCAATGATCAGAGAGAATTCTGGGGTGAGCAGTGTAGGTTTTGAGTCTCCCTAAATTGCCCCATAAAAATGGACAGAGCTGGACTGGCCAGTTAGCTCAGTTTAACACCAAGGTCAAGGGTTCAAATCCCCATACAAGTGAGGCACCCAAAAAAAAGGACAGAGAAATTGGAGAGCAAAACCCAAACCTTTTGACATGGTGTCCCCAGAAATTCCAAAATATGAGCTGGTGGGACAAATAGCCACAAGTTCTGGGCAGAGTCGGCACATCCTTGGGAGGAAGCTCAGGAGGGCTGCGAGGCATCCACAGACCTGGAAACAAAAGCACCTCAGGGGAGCCAACAGGTCCTGCTAGGAAAGTGCTGACCCTGGAGGAGTTTGCATCTCCCAGTGTGAGGGGGACGAGGAAATCTAAAGGGGCTTGAACATCCCAGGCCCTGTGAGTTCACAAAAGGCATCAGCTGAGCTCTCCCTGCTCCAGCCTCAGTGCCAGGGGAAACTGCTGAGAGGAGACTCTGAATTGACCCAAGCAGTGACAGGAAGTGCCAGGGAACAAGGAGGTTCAGATAAACAAGGGTGGGGAAGCAAGCAGCCAGAGGGTCATAGCGATTGCCATATTTTCCAATGCTTAATGAAAACAACTGATGTGTGAGCTCTAGAAAGTTCTCCTGATTTCTTATTCCTTCCTGTAGGCTTAGGAAAACCAATTTTGCATTAAAATAAATATCAGGACAGGGTTATGGTTATCTTAGTCCATTCAGGCTGTAATAACAAAAATACCATAGACTGGATGCTTAAACAACAGACATTTATTTCTCACAATTCCAGAGGCTGCAAGTCCAAGATAGAGCACCTGTAGGTTTGGTGTCTGGTGCGGATCCACTTCCTGGTTCATAGCGGGTGCCTTCTCACTGTGTCCTCACATAGTAGAGGGGCAAGGCAGCTCTCTGGGGCCTCTTTTATAAGGGCACCTATCCCATTCATGAGGACTCATGTCCTGATCACTTCCCAAAGGTCCCACTTCCAAAATCATCATCTTGGGGGTCAGGTTTCAACACATGAATTTTGGGGTTAAATGAACATTCAGTCCCTAACAATGTTCAATTATAGGATGAAAAAATAAGGAGCAGAATAATGTCCCTACAAACATGAAAATAGTTCGAGGAGGGTGTGCCGGGAAGACAGACACAAAATGGAACCTAGTAATTCATCCATCATAGAGGAAAACCAGGTTGGTCAGGAGTTGGTCCTCGTTGAAGCTGGTTTGGGGTGAATGAGGGTTCGTTATAACTATTCTAGCCTAGTTTTTGCTTACTTTCTTTTCAAGTATTTGCTTTAAATCTAAGTAATAAAAATGTATGAAACAGGGATCAGTTACATCCTGTTAAAGCTGTATGGTGGAGTTCCAGACAGTAGTGAAAATTAGCCATGGCTAGAAGACACAGGAATGTTGGACCGAGCACAGGGAGATTCCTGGTGATTCTTTGTGGTTTTCTCTTTTACAATTTCTACAATTATTACATGTTACTTGCTTTTAGTCAGAAAAACCTTTTAATGGGCCACTGTGCTAGAAGACACAGGAATGTTGGACCGAGCACAGGGAGATTCCTGGTGATTCTTTGTGGTTTTCTCTTTTACATTTTCTACAATTATTACATGTTACTTGCTTTTAGTCAGAAAAACCTTTTAATGGGCCACTGTGTGTTTCTTAGGGCAACGCTGGACGCTCCAGTTTGTAGACGTGACAACAGATCACTTTCTTTTCTCCACAGGCTTTGCTGGGCACTCTCTGGCCACCCTGCCCAGTCTCCACGTCTGCTTCTTTCTCCAGGTCTGGAGCCGGGCTCGGTGGTCATAACCCGGCAGGCCGTGGATGCCTGCTTCAAGCCGGAGTTCGAGCAGATCGTGCTGGGGAAGCGGGTCGTTCGGAGCACGGACCTGGATAAGCAGCTGGTACAGAAGCTGCTCCAGTGTTCCACAGACCTGAGCGAATTCACCACAGTCGTGGGGAACACCATGTGCACCTTGGACTTCTACGAAGGTGAGGCAACGGCCAGGGAGCCCCGGTCCCTCCCCTGAGCCTCTGCGGTTTGCACACACGGGGCTGCTGTCTTGGAGGAAGCATTTCCACGGTGGTTATAACGATCTGTTTGCGTGGAGGCCTGCACCTGGAGGGCGGGCCAGGTGTGTCCGGGTCGTAGCAGGTGCCAGCGTGCTGTGACCCGGGAGGAGCTTACTGCATGCATGTGGTTCTCACATCTGCACATGTGTTTCAGGACAAGGCCGTCTGGACGGTGCTCTCTGCTCCTACACGGAGCAGGACAAGCAGGCGTATCTGCGGGCGGCCTACGCCGCCGGCATCCGGAACATTGAGATGGAATCGTCAGTGTTTGCCGCCATGTGCAGCGAGTGTGGCCTCAGAGGTAGGAGTCACTTGGTTGGCTTCAGCGCCCCTCGTCCCTTCCTCTCTGCTCTGCTGGCTCAGCCCAGAGCCCCACACCAGGGCCTCTCCTCCCAGGGTACCCCAATACCAGTTTCTGACTTCTGCCCACTCTGTCCCCAAGTCAGTTTCTGAATGAAGGTGACATCCCTGCACCTGTGTGCTCAACGTCCTTTGATTGTCACATGACAAAATGCAGAATTCTCTGTGTCCCTGCAGTGACCCCGTGCCACCCACTCTGTCCCCAAGTCAGTTTCTGAATGAAGGTGACATCCCTGCACCTGTGTGCTCAACATCCTTTGATTGTCACATGACAAAATGCAGAATTCTCTGTGTCCCTGCAGTGACCCCGTGCCACTGTGTGGGTAAGAAAGGTGATGAACAGACTCTCCCCAGCTCAGATCTTGTGTGGCTGCCCAGTGAGATTGCCACCAGCCCTACAAAGAGCTCAGCTTTCAAAGCTTTTTGGCTTTCTGAATTGTGGCTAATCCACTGCCCCCCATCCCCCCAATTTCCTTGCCACCCTTCAAGCCCTACACTGCAGTCCAGAAATCCCTGCATCCTATCACCTGGGCCAAAATGTGCCTTTCAAGGTGGTATAGGGCAGCCCTGAGCTGGTCCTGAGATTGGCTTGGGAATTCCTTTGGGAAGCAAAGGCAAGGAGAGACAGGGCGGGGTGGTGGCAGAGAGGGAGGGACCTTCTGAGCGCCGGGACCCGGTGCCTTTCTCTCTCTGTCCTCCACCTCCTACACTCCGCTGTCGCCCATTTCCTGAGGGGGGCCAGAGGCTGCTCCTGGAGCCCCTGGTCTTTCATTGCGTCTTGGTGAATGAACTGGAGATCTGACACTTTGCCTTGATGTGGCCTTTGCTCTTTGCAGCCGCTGTGGTGTGTGTCACCCTCCTGAACCGCCTGGATGGGGACCAGATCCTCAGCCCTCATGACGTGCTCACTGAGTACCAGAAGAGGCCACAGCGGCTGGTCGGTTACTTCATCAAGAAGAGCCTGGGGAAGGCCTGAGGTCCCCGTTCTGAGCCTCCAGAGACAAGTGGCTATCATCACTTGCCAATAAAAAACCATTGTCCAAAAGCACCTTTTGTGTGATGTGGAGTGCACTTTACCAAGAATCTGGGGAATTGGGTTGCGTTTCAGAGTCAAGGAATCCAGGATTAGCCACACAGGAGATGTTCTTTTTTTAAGCTTCATTCGAGCATTTTCAAGGACATTAGCCTGATTTGGGGTTTCTTTGAGAACATTCTACTGAATTGGAACTATTTCTAGGGAAGATAATCGGACTCTAGAATTCTCATGGTGGTCAGATTTCCCATCACTGGACAAGAAGTCAGCCAGGGGCAGTGCGGGCTGGGGCATCGCTGGCTCCTGTGTGCTGGGTGGACTTGGAGTTCCACGTCACTGTGGCACGGCTCTGGTACCAGATCCTACTCCCTGCACTGGAGATGGGTTTGTTTCCTGGTGGATGCTAAGGCACACTCCCATACCCAGCGGCTCTACCTGGCAGTTTGCTGTGTGACTTTGAGGGGTGTAGAGGTGCATGGGAACCTCAGCGTAGTCGTGTGTGTGTGTCTGTGTGTGGTTTGCACACTCTTCGAGAAGCCCCTTCTCTGTGCTTCTGTGAGTTGCCCCAGATTGAGGGTCATTAGCAGAGGCTGAGCCCATGCACTCTTCTAGGGGCTAAGAGCAAGAGAGACCTCCACCCCAGTCAGAGAATCCCCCTGTCCCTTGTGCTCTAGGGGCTGTAATGTTGGCCTGCTCAGGGTGGAGAGTGAATTGCCTCATGTTTCTCCCCCAGCGCCTCTTACTTGAGGCTGTCCTGTTTGTCTATGTGCCCAGGCAGTATGCTGAGGGCCAGCGCTCCTGGGCCTCAACCTAGTACAAGCTGCAGGAGCTGGATTCGTGCTCCCGTCCCCAGGCTGCTGTCACATGCTGCTGTCTGTCTCAGACTTAACCTGGATGGTGCCATGCCCCTTTGGGTACATGTCTGCTGGTCAGACAATCAGCTAATGCCTGGCATGGGTCAGGTTCCCCCAAGGCCTTGGACCACACTGAGCTGGCCTGCCAGGGCCTGCGGGGGTGGCCGTGCAGCCCCATGTCCTGGGCGGGAGGCCAGCGTGCCTGCAACAGCTGCTTCTGCTTTTGTGTGTTTGACTAGCCGGGCTCTGCACTGTGCTGAGGGTGCAGGTGGGGGGCCATCACCCCAGCCCACAGTCCTTTCCACACTTCAACCTGGGGGTCCCCACAACTTCCTGGGAAAACATCCTTGTTAAAGCAGAGACAAAAAATGCAGAAACAATCAGCATGTTAACAGGATTTAAGGCTAAAGAGGAGGCCGTTAATAGCAAGAGGGCTAGTTTGTCTCTGTTGGCCTGGAAGTCTGCTAGGGGACAGATCACAAACCTGTTGACTGGGCACCCTCGGGGTGAGGCTGAAGGTAAAATTACTTAATGAGATTCTTCCCCACAGGCCAAGCGGATGTTGGCCAAGCTCCCAGCTGCCCCAGGTGGCAGTGCACTGCCCTCTGCTGGCCCTGTGAGGTAGGGCAAGTCACCCCACAAACATCTCAACAGGGTAACAGCCCTGACTACACCGGTGGAGCAGACAGTGCCTGAAATGGGGGTTGAGCAACATTATCTTGTTCAGATTGGATAAATACAGTCACTGTATTTCAGTGAGAACTGAACTTGTAGGTTTAGTTTGGTTACTGAGATATCCCTGGAGCTGACATTGTAAACATTCTCAAACGTGTTACCTGAATTCCTTGACACTACCAAAAACTTGGTCCCTCCCTCACCCTGCATGGGCCTGTCTGCTGTGCCAGTCATTAGCCTGGTCCCCTGTGCTCTCCCCGAAACCTGGGCTCTGACGCCTTCCTCTGTTCTCAGTGCCGAAAGCAGTGACTCCCTGAGCCAGAGTAAAATGATACCAACACAGTTTGCTTTCAGTGCTTTTGGTAAGTGAGAATTAGAAACAGTTGGGTTTGTTCTTTTTTTTTTTTTTTTTCCTTTTTTTTTTTGTCTTTTTTACTGACTGGTAACGGGATCGCAACCCTCGGTGTTGCGCCCGCACCGCGCTCAGCCAGTGAGCGGGAACCGGTCTCCACATGGGATCCGAACCCTTGGTGGGAGCGCCTCTGCGCTCCCAGTGCGCCACCGGGCCGGCCCGTTGGGTTTGTTCTGATGGAACTAATCACCCCAGATTTCAAAGACCGATTTCACTCCATGTTTTCTTCTAGTGTAAATCCTAAAATGATGTGCTCAGGATGGCTTCTGCTCATGTAAAAGCCAAACTTTAATAATGGTCAAGAACTTTGTACATTGAGAAATAGGGACGTCACTAGTGAGTTATCATGAGTTCACCACGTGACCCACTGGCATTCATTTACACAGCCATGCTGTGATGTGTGATGTGGAAGTGTTGTGTGGCCCACAGCCCCTCCCTCCAGTCCAGCCTCATCATACCGATGACAGTGATCATAATGCCACCCTGACCAGAAACAAAGAGAATGATGGTTTGTTTTTATAAACAACAATAGGGAAATATTTTAGACGATTAAATACATGTCTCCCATACCTTTATCATTAATCCTACAACAACCCAGATTTTAAAGCTAGTAGTACATCACCTATGATCCGGTAATTCCACTCCGGCTGCTAGGCCTGCTGGAGAGCTTCATGTGGCCCAGGAGATGTGGACAAGAATGTTTATAGTGGCAATGTCCTCCATGGGAAAGCTGGAGTCCCCAAATATCCATGTGCCACTGAACAGGTGCATTCCATTTGAGTTTGGCAAACTCATGATACAATACGATGAAAACAAAAGCAAACAACTCAGTGCAGAAAGACCTCACAGATACCATTTTAAGTGAAAAAAGCAAATTGTAGAATAGTACATATATCATGATTCCATTTATAAAGTTTGAAAACAGGCAAAACAAAAGAATTTTTTGTTTAGAAATACATGCCTTGTGTGGTAAGACTGGTGGGAAAACCCCACTGGAGATTGAGAAACCCAAAATTCAGGGCAGGAGTCCCCTCTGGGGCAGGCAAGACATGGGGGGGAAGGGGGTTAGCTGAAGGGCAATCAGTAGATATTTTTATACTTACCAAATATATGAAGGACAGAGATTTTTGGCAAATTTTCATGTAGTAGGTTCTACTCTGCAGATGTGAGCTTTTAATAATAACTAACATTTATCAAGCAAATATTGGGCACCTCACTTGGAATTTCCATGAATGAGCCTGCCTAACCCTGTCCCATAATCCCCAAATGCCAGATGAGGACACTGAGGGTTAGGGCAGAGGAAGGCTGTGTTCAGAGTCCGTGCAGAGGTTCAGACTGTGCCTCAGTGGTGTGTCCTGTACCTACATGCATATGTGCACACCTGTGCATACATATGCACATACATGTACACATATGTACACCTGCACACATGCACACCGAAGCTTGCTTAATAGGAAAAGTCCTCTCAACTATGGAGAAAGGAGAATTGATGCACAGATCTCAGTCTTTCTGGATCATTCTGGCATAGCCAGTGCTGCGGGGGAACAAGTTCTCCTTCAGGGTCTCTTTCAGAGGGTGTTTTGTTAAAAGAAAAATTTTAAAGAATTTAGGAAAAAAAGATGAATCTCTCTGTCCACTGGAGCTGGGATACACTCTTCTGTCTGTGGACATCAGAGTTCAAGACTCGTTAGCTTTTGGGTTCCAGGACTTACACCAAGGACACCATCAGCTTCCCTGGTTCTGAGGCCTTTGGAGTGGGACTGAACCATGCTACCAGCATCCAGTTTACAGACGGCTTATCGTGGGACTTTTCTTCATAATCATGTGAGCTAATTCCTCTAATAAATCCCTCTCATATATTTATAACATACCCTATTCATTCTGTCTCTCTGGAGAACCCTGAATAATACAGAGACCAATGGAACACAATAGATAATCCAGAAATAAATCCATGTATTTATAGCCAACTGATTTTCAACAAAGGCATCAAGAATATACATCAGGGCAAGAATAGTTTCTTCAATAAACTGTGCTGGGAAAACCAGATATCCATATGCATAAGAAAGAAGCTAGACCCCTACCTCACACCATATACAAAAAACAACTCAAAACGTATTAAAGACTTAAATGCAAGACCTGAAACCATGCAACTACTAGGAAAAAACATAGGGGGGAAACTTCAGGACATTGGTCTGGGCAAAGATTTTATGAACAAGTCCTCAAAAGCACAGGCAACAAAAGCAAAAATAGACAAGTGGGATTATATCTGCACAGCAAAGGAAACAATCAACAGAGTGAAGAGACAAACTGCAGAAGGGGAGAAAATATTTGCAAACTATGAATCTGACCAGAGATTAATATTGAGGCTATATAAGGAACTCAAACAACTCCTCAGCAAAAACAAAACACAAATAACTAAAAATTAAAAATGGGAAAATGATCTGAATAGACATTTCTCAAAAGAAGACATAAATGACCAACAGGTATATGAAAAAATGCTCAACATCAACAAGCATCAGGAAACTGCAAATCAAAACCATAGTAAGATATCATCTCACCCCAGTTAGAGTGGCTATTATTAAAAAGACAAAAAATAACAAACGCTGGTGAGGATGCAGAGAAAGGGAAACTTACATGCTGCTGCTGGGAATGTAAATTAGTACAACCATTATGGAAAACAGTATAGGAAAAACTAAAAATACAACTTACCATAGGATCCAGCAATCCCACTACTGGGTATATATCTAAAGGAAAGGAATCAGTATAGTGAAGAGATATCTGCACTCTCATGTTTATTGAAGCAGTATTCACAACAGAAAAAGTTCATATGAACTTCTTCCCAAATTTTGTTTACATTTCTTTGGAGCACTCTATGACTCTATGTACTGACACGGAAGATTTCCCAAAAATATTAAGTGAAAGAACCAATTCACAAATCAACATATAACCCAAATACATTTCTCTAAAAACAGATCAACAAAATAGGGACACATGACTATATGCATCTGTATATGTGCATGAAATGTCATGGAAAAAGGACGGGAAGGACGTCATGTCTAAATGAACTGGGCTGA